TTTATTGAATATTTTTGTGAGTCTCTGAGTTCTTATGTGCATTGATTCTGCTGATTTAGAGAACCTTGTGTTCTTGGTGTCCTCTATCCCCTCTGGCTCTTACACTCTTTCTGACTTTTCTTCAGTAGTTTTCCTGAGTCCTAAGGAAAGGGATTTGATAGGGAAGCCTTGTTTATTGCTGAAATGTTACAAAGTCTCTCATTCTCAGCATATTGTCTGGCTGGGGGTGGTGGTGCTCTCCAATGATGGCTGAGCAAGACACTAATCTGTGATGATAGCAGAATGTTATCAGGAGTCATTTTAATACTTTTTTTTAAATAGAACAGTAACATTTGTTTGCTGTATGTTCCTGGGCTATCTAGTCTCAGGTTCTTGGTTACCCAAGCTGTGTTGGGTATGGGTTCCATCTTGTGGAGTGGCCTTGAGTCAAGTCAAACGTTGGCTATTCCCACACAATTTATGCCACCATTGCACTAGTATGTCCTTCAGGGAGAACATCATTGAAGATCGAATGGTTTGTGGCTAGAGTGGTGTTTATGTTTTTCTTTTGATACTGTTCAGAGTACCCTCCTTTGCCAAATATAATAGACCATAGGGCTGAAGCCTCTATGGAGACACCAGCTCAACTTCTCCATGTACAGTGAGCTGTGTAGGTGTTGTCTTCAGCAATGGGGCCTTGTCAGTTTGTGGAGAGATGCTTAAAGTTTTGGCAGCAGCCTGGTTGTTTGGGGATTCCCATGAGACAACCTTGGCCAACAACTCAATTAGATGTAATCCAATCCCCATACTGGAAGCCTCATTTGGTGACAAGAGATGTACAGTTGGGGCTCTGTCTTCCTATTATTCGGTGATTTCATTTACATCACCTTCAAATATGTATATATTTTAGGAGGCTTCTACCGTATTAGGTTTTCATACCGCAATGGCCCTTAATTTTAGTTGTCTCCCCTTGTTATATCCCGACCCCTCCCCACTTGATCTTCCCTTTCCAGTCTCCTGCTCCATCATACATAACTATTATATTCCCTATTCCCCTCCCCCAGTTCCTTACTCTGCACCTAACCTCTGTGGTTTTTTGGATTGTAACTTGGTTATCATTGACTTAACAGCTATTATCCACATACAAATGAATACATGCCATATTTGTCTTTTTGGGTCAGGGTTACCTCACTCAGGATAATATTTTTCTAGTTCCTTCCATTTACTTGCAAATTTCATTTTTGAGTGATATACGGTTGGTAAATAAATGTACATTTTCTTTATACTTTCATCTGTTGAGGGACATCTGGGTTTTTTTTTTCAGTCTCTGGCTATTATGAACAGAACAACAATGAGCATGGTTGGGCAAGTGTCTCTGTGGTAGGATGAAGCATCCTTTGGGTGTATGTTCAAGAATGGTATAGCTGAGGCACTACCACACTGATTTCCATAGTGGCTGTACAGTGGATGGGTGCTCACCTTACTCCACGTTCTTGCCAGCCAGAGGTGTCATTCGTTTTATTGATCTTAGCCATTCAGATGGGTATAAGATGAAATCTCAAAGTAGTCTTGATTTACATTTCCCTGATGACTCGGGATGTTGAACATTTCTTTAAATGCCATTTGGATTTCCTCTTTTGAGAAGATCTATACCCCATTTTTTACTTTTATTGAAATTTGATTTTTTTCTCTCACATGTATGCTGATTATGGTTTCCCCTTTCCCTATTCCTTCCAGTTCTTCCCTACCTCCTCTCCCATCTGGATCAACTCCCTTTCTGTATCTCACTAGAAAACAAACAGGCTTCTAAGGGATAATAAATAAAATAAAGCAAAACTATCATTTTAAAATTGGACAAGACAAACCAACAGAAGGAAAAAAGCCCACAAGAGAAGGTACAAAAATCAGAGACCCATTCATTTATAAACCAAGGAATCACATAAAAACCCTAAAGAAGCTCGTACAGACAGGTGAAGGCTGTGTGCTTGCTGCCTCAGTCCCTGTGAGTTCATAGGAGCTTTAATCATGTGGATTTAGAAGACTTGTGTTCTTGGTGTCCTCCATTCCCTCTGGCTCTTACACTTTTTCTGCCTCCTCTTCCACAGGGTTCCTGAACTCTGAGGGGAGGGATTTAATGGGTACACCCCACTTAGGGCTGAGTATTCCAGGGTCCCTCTCTTTTCTGCATGTCTGGCTATGGATCTCATTATTTATTCTCATTGCTGCAGAAGGAAGCTTCTCTGATGGTGACTGAGCTAGGCACTGTAGATCTGTACCCATCTTTATTTTTTATTTCCTTTTTTATTTAAATTAGGAACATGCATGCTTCAAATGTCAATCCCAGCTCCCCCCTCTTCTTCCTCCCAGCCCCACCTCAACTCCTTCACCCCCAGCCCTATCCCCACATCTTTCCCCAGGGAGGGTAAGGACCTCCTTGGGGGGATCTCCAGAGTCTGTCATTTCATCCAGGACAGGACCTAGGCCCTTCCCCATGTGTCCAGGCTGAGAGAGCATCCCTCCATGTGGAATGGGCTCCTAAAGTTCATTTGTATGTCATGGTGAACACTAATTACTACCCAAAGCCCCAGAGATTTCTGAGGCCTCCTCACTGACACTACATGGAGTTTCTGTACCCATCTTTAAATTGGGTTATTTCTTTTCTTGATATCTAGTTTTTTGGGTTCTCTATATATTTTGGATGTTAGCTGTCTATTGGCTATGCAGTTGGTAAAAATCTTTTCTCGTTCCATAGCCTGCTGCTTTGTCTTATTGACGGTGTCCTTTGCTGTGCAGAAGCGTCTGAGTTTCATGAGGTCCCATTTATTAACTGTTGATCTTAGTGCCTGTGCTAATGGTATTTTGTTCAGAAAGTCTTCTGTGCCAGTGAATTCAAGGCTGTTCCCCACTTTCTCTATGAGATTCAGTGTATGTGGCTTGATGTTGAAGTCTGGTCTACTTGGACATGAGTTTTGTGCAGGGTGATAAGTATGAATCCATTTGGAGTCTTCTACATTCACCCATCCAGTTTGACCAGCACCATTTTTGAAGATGTTGTCTTTTTTCCAGTGTGTATTTCTGCCTTCTTAATAAGAAGTCAGATGTCCATAGGTATGCAGATTTCTTTAGGCCTTAGTTTGAATCTGTTGATGGACATGTTTGTTTTTATGTTGATACTATGCTGTTTTCATTACTGTAGTTTTGTAGTACAATTTGAGGTCAGGGATGGTGACACCTCCAGCAGGTCTTTTATATTCAGAATTGTTTTAACTATCCTGCTTTTTGTGTGTGTGTGTGTGTGTGTGTGTGTGAGAGAGAGAGTGTGTGTGTGTGTTTCCCTGTGAAGCTTAAAATTTTCCTTTCAAGGTCTGTAAAGAATTGTGTTGGAGTTTTGATGGGGATTGCATTGAATCTGTAGATTGCTTTTGGTAGGATGGCCAATTTTACTATATTAATCCTACTGATCCATGAGCATGGGAAATTTTCCCATCTTCTGATATCTTCTTCAATGTTTTAAAGTTTTTATCATACAAGTCTTTCATTTGCTTGGTTAGAATTACCCGCAAGATAGTTTATATTATTTGTAGCTGTTGTGAAAGGTATTGTTTCCCTAACTTTTTTATTGGTCCATTTGTCATTTGTATATAGGAGGGCTACTAATTTTTATGAGTTAATTTTGTATTTAGCTACTTTGCTGAAAGTGTTTATCAGCTGTAAGAGTTCCCTGGTGGAATTTTTAGGGTCACTTATGTATATTACCTTATTACCTGAAAATAAAAATACTTTGACTTCTTCCTTTCCAATTTATATCCCCTTGATGTGGCTTAAATTTGGTTTTATCATGCAATGTCTTATTTTCTCCATTTATGGAAATTGAAAGTTTTGCCAGGTATAGTAATCTGGGCTGGCATCCATAGTCTTTTAGCGTCAGTAGAACATTTGTCCAGGCCTTTCTGGCTTTAAGAGTCTCCATTTAGAAGTCAACTGTTTTTCAGATAGGTCTACTTTTATGTGTTATTTGGTCTTTTCCCTTGCAGCTTTTAATATTTTCTCTTTTGTGCATATTTAGTGTTTTGATTATTATGTGTCAAAGGGCATTTGATTTCAGGTCCAGTGTATTTGGTATTTCTGTATGTTTAAAAGTCACCAGCAAGATGGTGCAATAGGTCAAAGCCATTTCCGTACTAACTTGGCAATCTGAATTTGATCCCTGGGACCCACATAAAGGTAGAAAGAGCATACTTAATTCCATAAAGTTGTTCTCTGCTGTCCACTTATGTGTTGTGGTAATCCTTTCCTCTTCACATCACACACACACTCTGGGGGCAGTGTGAATTGGGGAGAAGACTCAGCTGGTAAAGTATCCCCTGTGCAAGGACGAACACACCCATGGCTGTTCCCGACCTTCACCACCAAATCAGAAAATGTCTGCAGATACAAGCAGCCTTGTATTAGAGAGCTGGCCTTGTGTATTCAAGGCTCTGGAAAAAAGAGATAGTACTGTGAGAAGTGAAGCTGGGCATGGACATGGCCTAGGACTAGAACCCCAGCACCGGGCAGAGGCTGAGACTGGAGGAGCTACATAGTGAGACACTATCTTATATTCTAAAGAAACAGACGAGGGTATAGCTCAGTGCAAGACTTTGCATTCAGTCCCCAGAACTGCAAAATAAATCAATTCAAACAGCAACTGCCTCCCTTTCAATGCTTTCCCATGATTGCTTGTTTTAATGTTAAAGCTGTAAGGAATCACTAGATTTTAAGACTTTTTTTAGCTACTTGCCTAAAACAGCAGTGCATTGTATTTGACAGCCACTGCAGTATGTATTCTGTCACTGGCTAGCAGCAGTGTGTTTGTATAGAACCTTTTACTTGATGATTTACCTTTAATGACTGGATTTGATCATTGAGTAAGTAAATATCACAGCTACCATTCTTCTAGAGGGGTCATTTTAAGATTACACTCATCTGTTTCTGACTAATTTTTACAGATGATTTGTTTTCATTCTCTTTTCCACTTAAAGGTGAGTCGTTCATCTTTGCTGATAGAACAACCTGTGAAAAAGAGGCCTCTTTTGGATAATCAGGTGGCGAATTCTGTGTGTGTTCAGCCAGAGCTACAAAATAACACAAAGCATGCGGATAACTCATCTGACACGGAGATGGAAGACATGATTGCGGAAGGTCTGTGGAGCTCATCAAACCTTTGATTTAACTTTGGCTTCTACTGCTTGAAATAGAGTGTGGATTTTTCATTTTTTTATTTAAGTTAAAAACAAGCTTGTTTCACATGTCAATCTCAGCTCCCTCTCCCTCACCTCCTTCCCCACCCTTCCCACCAGGCCCCCCCCCAGTCCCCCACCCAATGTCCACTCCAATCCCCAGGGAGAGTGAGGCCCTTCATGGAGGATCTCCAGTAACTGTCATTTCATTCAGGGCAGGGCCTAGGCCGTCCCACAAGAGTCCAGGCTAACAGAGCATCCCTCAATGTGGGATGGGCACTCAAATTCTATTTGTACACCAGGGATAAATACTACCCAAGGCCCCATAGATTACCTAGGCCTCCTCACTGACACCCACATTCAGGGGGTCTGGATCAATCCCATGCTTTCCACACAGCCATCAATCTGGGGTCCAAGAGCTCCTACTTGTTCAGATCAACTGTTTCTCTGGGTTAAACCCACCCAGTCTTAACTCCTTTGCTCATCAAGAGTGTGGCTTTTTATTCTGCATAGATTTTCACTTGGATAAAATTCAGTTTTCCTTACATACAATGAGTTTGTAAATACTATTAACCAGAATAACGGGTGAGCTAACTACTTATAACTAAAATATCTAAAAGAACAACATCGGTGCTGATATATACAATGTTAGTTTGATTTCTAGGTTCTGTGTAAGTTCTAGCTAAGTTCTATACAGCTCTATCTACGTTCTAGGTTCTATCTAAGTTCTGTCCAGACATGAGAAAAGTAATTTAAAAAATTTTGCATCAGGACAATAAAGTCTTGCTTTAAAAAAGTAGACCATAGTAACAAATGACTATCTTACTAAATTTGCTTCACAATATAGAGCATTGAGGTATGTGGTTTTAGATTTGTCCTTATTGTGATAGGTGTTACAAGCTGGGTATTACAGTTACACTCAGAGTGTTCTCTTCAGTCAATAGATGATAACATTTGTTCTAAGAGAAAAATATTATTAATCTCCTTTCTGTCAAAGACTCCTTCTCAACGGACTATATTCTAGTATTGAGTACCCCTTAGAAGTCAAAATGATAAAAGGCTGAGGGAAAGCAAACACAGGTAAATGTAAAACTGATATTCTGTGTCTAGAGTTTCCTATTTAAAGTCAGCAAATGCTATGTCTTTTCTTTTTAATGAGGTTCTGAATGTGTGCTTAAAAATAACCAACAAAACAAAACAGCCTAGCTGTACTGAGTATGAGAGTCTTCAGGAGAGATGGATGTTATCATTCTACATGGCCCTACAGTTGATGTTGTTCACTTTGAAGTATTTAGTTAGGTGAGCTCATTAACATCTTTGTCTTAGTAATTATCCTTAGGATCTCTAAAATTATTCTTTTGCAAATATTTATTTAGTTTATGTTCCTTTACTGCATGTCTCTACACAATGTTAAATTTACCAAAGTGGCATGTTGATAAGAAAAACCTATATCCTTCTGACTCTTAAAGTGTGGCACCTGCTGTTGGTGGTGTTTTATAAGCTCTTGTGAAGTAGTCAGAATTTTTACTTCTTATTTGAACAACCAATCCTGTAATAGCATAACATTTGACTTTGACTGACTTCTGGTTATTTTGAGTTCGGTTTGATTCCCTCTGATGTAAAAGACTGTTAACCATGAGACAGTCCATACTTACCTTCAGTTAGAGAGAGCCGTGTACCCTTCTGTCCTCATCAGGCTCACAGGCTCCGTCCTCATGGTTCTGCCAGTCACTGCATGTCTTTCCCTTGATGCCTCCCAGACTTCCCTTCGCTGCCTTTCTTTTCTACTTCTCCTCCATCCTTTCCTCCTCCTTTCTTTCTGAAAGTTGTAGTCATTTGATTTCACTGATAAGGTGTGTCTCTCTGAAAAGCAGATGTTTTCTTACCTAAGTAAATAACAAAATTAATAATTCTTTGATGTAATACCTGATTCATTTCAGATTTTCTCAGTTATCTGAAGCATGTTCTTTCATAGTCATTTAATTGAAGTCAGGATACAACAAGGTTACCATGGTGACTTTCATTGTTAGAATTTAATTTCATTTAATTCTTAAATACATGGTTTTAGTTAGTTATTACATGTGAGGACATTTTTTATTTGAGATGGAAAACAGTGAAGGTGAATGTTCAGTTTTCTTTTTTTGCTTGAATCTGTAAATGATTAAATGAAGGTTCTTTGCAAAAATGTGTTTATCATGTCACCCTGCTGAACACACAGGAGGAAATGGAAATCTGAGGAGTTTTATAACATACCTCACGATATTTGTAGTTTATAAAATGTAATGGACAGTACACAACATAGCTAGTGTGCTGGCATATGAGGGCTGTGTACGGAAGAAGTGAAAACACCCTGCTTCCCTTAAGGGAGTTTTTGGTTAGTTGGAAACTAGGGAATCTCCATCACAGAGCAGCAAGTGTTAAATACAGTCAGTGAGAACACAGAGTTGGCTGAAGTTATTTACAGCTTGATGAATTTCTTATACTTATGAGTTTGAACCATATATTGTGTTAAAAGAGACAAGGAGGCAAGCATAGATTTAAGATAACAGTCAGGAAAAACAGTTGATTAGGACATGATCAGACACACAGAGGATGTGTGTAGGAGCACATCACACCAAAGTACCACTGAACAGACAGGTGAGTCAGGCCCAGAAGAACCCTGAGGGAAGATTGGGCTTTGGGGGCTGGTGGGGTGGTTTACTCTAATGAAGTGGCCAAACCTGTATCATAATACATGCAAGCCTCCGTTTCTTTATGTGAGAGTCAGTTTAGATTTCTATTACTATGAAGAGACATCATGACCATGGCAACCCCTATAGAGGAAAACATTTAATTGAGATGACAGTTTACAGTTGGTCCATTATCATCATGGTGGGACATAGCAGCATGCAGGCAGACAAAGTGCTGGAGAGGTAGCTGAGAGTTCTACATCTTGCAGGCAACAGGAAGTTGACTAAGACACTAGGGTATGGATGAGACCTCATTTGACTTCATTAAAGACTCAGAATAATTTTCAACAAGTAATATGGAAAATTTGATTTCTCTGACACAGTCTACCCATCTTTACAGTCACATTCACACTGGAGAGATGGAGGAAGGTGCTATTTGGATTTGCCAGCATTTTTTCATCATTTTTAATTTATTTTACATACAAATCACAATTTCCCCTCCCTCCTCTCTTCATGTTCCCTCATCCCTTTCTTCTATTCCCCCCATCCACTCCTCCTCTGTCTCCATTCAGATGGGGTAAGGCCTCCCATGGGAGTCAACAATGCATGGCATGTCAAGTTTAGGCAGGCCCTAGCTCCTCCCCACTGCAACAAGGTTGAACAAGGCATCTCACCATAGGGAGTAGGTTCCAAAGAGCCAGCTCACGCATCAGGGGACAGGTCCTGGTCCCACTACTAGGAGCCCCACAAAAGACCAAGCTACACAACTGTCACCCAGATGCAGAGAGCCTTGATTGGTCCCATGCTGGCTCCCTAGCTGTCCATCCAGAGTCCATGAACTCCTACAAGCTCAGGTGTGCTGTCTTTGTGGGTTTCCCCATCATGATCTTGACCCTCCCCCTTGATCATATAATCTCTCCACCCCCTCTTCAACTGTACTTCCAAAGCTCAGCCCAGTGCTTGACTGGTTTTCTGTATCTGCTCCCATCAGGTACTGGATGAAGGCTCTATGATGACAATTAGGGTACTCACCAATCTGACCCTGTGAAAGGGGCAATTTTTATTTTACTGTGTTGAGACAATTTCATCCACACTGTGACTAAATCAGTGACCTTTGCATACATACCAAGGTAGTTTTGAGAGTTTCCTTTAAATGGCCACCCTGGGGCTGAAGATGTAGAGCATTTGCTTGGGGTGTGAGAAGCACTAAGTTTGATTCCCTTGCACCACATACAAAACACAAACCAACAGAGGCCACTTGTTGGCTTGTGATTTCATTAGTAAAGATGATGTATTTGGAGCCTTGCCAGGACCAACTATGACTCCTCAGTATGTCTCTCAGTAGTTCTTACAAGTTAGATCATCACTTGATCTAATACTTTCCTTCTGCTTCTCTAATAAACTCAGAATTGACTGGGTATGTACCAGCCAAGTCTACTTACTTTAGGATCTTTGTCTTTGTACTTTTACTGAGTGTATACTACCCACATCTACTCAATCCACCTTCATCTTAAGAGACGTTTGTAATAATACAGAAAAGCACACATGGAGCTCACTGCTAAAAGTTTACCTAGCCCAGTACTTTTTGTTTCTTTTGCTATTCATGTGCCTTGGCATAATATGGTGGATTTTAAGTTTTACTTATTGTGTGTTTTAGTACTCTGAGCTCTTTATGTTTTATATTTTATTTGTTGTTTTCAATTGTATGGGCATTTTTATGCATGTATGTCTGTACACTGCTTGGTGCCTTTAGAGGCAGGTGAGGGTGTTGGATCCCTTGGAACAGGTGTTATGAATGGTTATGAGCTGCCACTTAGGAGTTGAACCCTGGTCCTCTGGAAGAGCCACCAGTGCATCTAACCACTGAGCCGTGCTTCCAGCTCCAGTACTCTTAGTTCTTATGTGCAGACTGAAATGGAACAGACATCCATGCAATAGTCACTCCAGGTCTCTGGCAAAGGACATGAAGATTGAGCTGTTTGCTTTAGGTGCAGTGTCTGAAGTAAGAGTGCAGGAGAGGGTTTGGGTTTGGTTTGGGTTTGGGGTTAGGACTAGCACTCTTACTTAGCAGGGAACACCTTAGAAAATGTACCAAAAGTCAGGCATTATGAGACTGCTTGAGATTTTAAAAGCAGAATTAATTTTATTTAATAGTAAAAGGAACTGTTTTATATATTGATAATATAAAATCTTTATAAAATTGGTCATACACTTCAGATCTCTTAGTTAAATATTTTACATGTCCCACTAAAATCAAACATACAAAAGTTTCTCCATTTTGAAGCCATTCTCTTTTCCATTAGGAATTTAAGGCTTTCCATGCTGTAAATCTTCATAACTTAGTGCACCAAATTCATATCCCACATTCTGCTTTTGAAAATGTTCCTTCTCGTGGGCAGTATTTGACACTGTCATCATTTCTCAGTGTTTATAAATCATATATTGTTTGTTTGTACATTTTAGACATGCTGGATCCCTAGAAAAACTAATCTATGCATACTTGTATAAATGTACTTATTGTATAGAAAAAACCCATCATTTCTATGTAGAAACAAGGAATTAGTAGGAGTCCAGCCAGAGTAGCTCAGGATCCAAAGAAGATGAGGAAATCCTGGTCTGACAGTGTTGTGTAACTAGAATTAGAGGCTGAAGGAAATCTTGACACTCAGGTTTTTGTTTTTGTTTTTCTTCTTTTTTAGAGACATTAGAAGAAATGGATAATGAGTTGCTCAAGTGTGAATTCTGTGGAAAAATGGGATATCCTAATGAATTTTTACGGTCAAAACGATTCTGTACTATGTCATGTGCCAAAAGGTATGTTGGTATTCTTGGATTTGCTGAGGGAGAACCAGTAACTTTTGCCATGAAATCAAGATACAGTTACAGTTGAGCTTTGATAGGAGTTAGCTGTGATAACAAGGGGTTAGGTGCCATTGGCAGCCACTTACTCTGTGTCTGGTTACTAGAATTTACTAAGTGATAATTATGTACTAATGCAGTTTCATGGTATATGCTCATGAAGCAGCAGTTATTTGGTGCAAGAATATGCTCTGTAGAATCTCTCCTGTAGCATGACAAGTATATGATAGAATGTTAGTCTCATGTCTTAAAAGATTATAGCCAACTTTCAAAATTAATTAGTAATAAGTAATTAGTAATAAGATCATGCAGTATTTATGTTCTAATTTGAATTTCATTTGGAATGTAACACATGAAAGAACAGTACTTTCTAATGCTGGTTAAAAACGCTTATAAATTGGGATAAATTGTCTTTGAGGATACTGTAAACCTCTTGACTATTGAGAAGTTTATCAGGGCACTTAACACTATCTGCCATTGCCCTTTGCCCAGAAACGATGACTGACTGACTGGCATATAGTATACTTCCGATGGACCTTCTTAGGTCAGGGACCCTAGCATAGTGAAACATGGCTGACAGAGCAAGGAAGCGAGGCTGAATTAGGTCAGGGAAGTGCTGCTGCTGTTTACAGGGTTACTTAGCTGTTAGTCTTGGAGAGCTAAATATACAAGCACTGACTGCCAGGCGCAAAGCTAGTTCTCTCCTTTCCTCAGTAGTAAGCTTTGTCCCCTGAGGTTAATTCGAAATCAAAACTTCACTTTGCGAAGCCCACAGATGAACCCATGTGAACACAGCAGGACTTCTTCAGTTCTTTCAGTGGCTCTCAGGTCCATTGCATCTTTAGAAGACAAAGTTCATTCTCATAGCATTCCTTACTTCTGTCTCTTATATTTTCATAAAGCATAGGTAAACAAAATTACATCTATTATTCTTGAATAGTTATCAATAACAAAATTAATGTCTGTGTGCTTTGCCTCTAAGAATATCTGTGTGCCATGTGTGTTTCTGATGCAGAAGCCAGAAGAGGGCATTGGACCCTCTGGAACTGGGTGTGCAGGCAGGTGTGAGCCTCCACAGTGTGCTGAGAACCAAACCCTGATCTCCACATGTGCATCTGCATCTGCACACATATGTGCTCCTGTACCTGCACATGTTTCTGCACATTCCTTTCCACACATACTAAAACAGCAAGACAAAACAAAATCCAGTATATTCCTTGTAAAATAGCTTAAGTAAGCATTGGAAATATACAGAGTGTCTCTTCTGGAACCATGGATTTTTTTGTTGCTTTGCAAATTGTCTTATGCATTTTGCATATTTCTCATTATTCTCTAATCAGGAGAAAATACCATTACTTTGTTATAGGTATCCAGTATTATGTTGAGAGATATTTTATGATATATTCAGGAGCCATTTTGACCTGTAGGATAAATAAATCCATTCAATAAGATAGATGTACGTTTGAGGTATTACAGTCTTTACTATCTAGTACTTAATGCGCCACAGTTGTTTTAAAATTACAGTTAAATTCTTAATGGGGTGTTCATATATTGCTTAATTTTTCTTTGTTGAATTTCTTAGGTACAACGTTAGCTGTTCTAAAAAATTTGCACTTAGTCGTTGGAATCGTAAGCCTGATAATCAAAGTCTTGGGCATCGGGGCCGTCGTCCAAGTGGCCCTGAAGGGACAGCAAGAGAACATATCCTTAGGCAGGTTTGTAGAAATTTTGCTTCAATATACAATGTCCTTTTAAGAAATGCAAGGAAAATGCAATGCTGTATTTTACTTTACTGCATTTTCCAGCTTCCAATTACTTATCCATCTGCAGAAGAAGACTTGGCTTCTCATGAAGATTCTGTGCCCTCTGCAATGACAACTCGTCTGCGCAGGCAAAGTGAGCGGGAAAGAGAACGTGAGCTTCGAGATGTAAGAATTAGGAAAATGCCTGAGAACAGTGACTTGCTCCCAGTTGCACAGACAGAGCCCTCTATATGGACGGTTGATGATGTCTGGGCCTTCATCCATTCTTTGCCCGGTATGTGACTCACCACACTAGCATGGATGTTTTTCTTGTGCCTTCACAAGAAACTGATGTTAAGTTCATCCATACCTGTGGCATTAAAGGCTAGAGAAAATGTGTGTGTAAATAAAATGGCGTTTGCTATTGAAATGGAATCTGCTTCCTCTTACTTATCCCTCAGCATGACTCTATGCTCTTTCATACCCCCAAATTAGTAAAAATGGATTAGTCCAGCCATTGCTCTGGCGCCCCAGCTGGCAGATGGTAAGGTTTTCTCTTCTCCAGTCTGATTCTCTTGAGAAGGCAGGAGAAGGAATCAGACACTTCTCCCCTTCTGCTTCTCTATTTCCTAATAATTTTCCTCTTCATTTCTTCAGCTAACCTTTTTTGAAACTGAAACAAGAAAGTTGAGTGTGTGTGTGTGTGTGTTTTCAAAAGCTAATCAATACTGTAGAGTAGGGTAAACTCTTGGTTTCTTTGTAAAACGTTACATCCTTCTTATGCCTGCTTGATTTCTCTACGTACCCACCAGCTTCAGCTTCCTTTCTCTTTAGGAAGCAGTGTTTGTGATGGCCAAAGATGGTGGGGCCTTTGTTTGCAATGAGACCCACACTAAATGTATGTTAGGATAGTGTATTTCTTTTAAATTTGTAAAACTCTGGCCTTATGAATCTAGAAAATGAGTTGTGAGTTGTATCATTCCCTTTCTTCAAGCTTTCTAGACGAGTACATCTCACTTGGGCTATTTATCAGACACTTAAAAAAACATAATTCTATATTGATTCTTTGGGAATTTCACATCATGCAAAATTTCTAACAAAACAAGATATTTTTAACAAATTTATTTTAACGAAACAAGTAGAAGGAATTGTTTAAAGGAAGTATATTTCATGTAAATTTATAAGTACCTGTATAAGAAAACTAAGGTGTATATTAATAGCTGTTAGACTCTGCTAAACTTGATCTCTTAGGGGTTAGTGGACCTTACTGATGATTGTTTTAATTTTAAAGAAATAAAACCAGATTTTAGTTTCAGACCAGTTTAGCTGTCTTAACACTGGAGTCCACCCCACCCTGACCACCCAGGGCTGGGCGTCTTGCCCTCCTTGGTAGTCTGTTTCCCGAGGGGTGTATAGTATGTCTGTGAGCCTGGGTTCTTACTGTGGCAAAGGTGTCTTTCCCTTTGGGTAGGGGAGTTGCTTTATAGCCTAATGAAATTAATTGTCCCAAATAACCAACAAATTGTCCTTACTACTGAGCCATAAGGACAATACTTCAAGTGTTATTTTATGGCAATTTCCCAGCAACTAGGTGCTGTACCACTCTGGACTGCTTTATTAGATCAGACCTTGGCCTTGCTCTTCCTTCATTTGACTTCAGCAGCCATAGCCCAAACTGGACATCCCATTCTTATCTTAGAGTTCATAATGCACTTACTACATGTCATCGAGAAGAAACAGAGTTGATTGGTTCTATTTAGCCAATCCTTCCTTCCTTCCTTCCTTCCTTCCTTCCTTCCTTCCTTCCTTCCTTCCTTCCTTCCTTCCTCCCTCCCTTTCTCCCTCCCTCCCTTCCCTGATGAAATGGGAGTATTTCTGAATTGCTTTAATGAACTAAATAATACTATATTTGTGCAATCAGAGTAGCTTAGTATAAATGTTACACCAGAAAATTGTGTTTCTCTTTCTTTCTGCCTCTTCGGCATTTATAAATAACTTTCTGAGCTTCTTCAAGGCTGTTTCTTTTGCCTGAGTATTTTTACAAGCTTTTCTCAATAGTAGGAACGAGTTTATACATTTTGTGAACTCTTAATTTTCTTTCCAGATAGGATGAGCTTCCTTGTAATCAGGGCACCTGTATTTACCCCTGGGTTTCTGTTATCTTTGTGTTATCATGTTATTGAATACTCATTGGGACTATGTTAAAGTTTCCAAGTAGCAAATTCATATCTCAGAATTGCTATCAGAGAGAAAATTAACACAACTTGGGTGCATTAGAAGTTCTCCACAGAGGACTTCTGGTTACCTTCTGTATTACCCTTTAGTGAACTTCCCTTTCAGAAAGATTATTCTATAGTGATCTGTGAATCCAGATTGAATTTCTCTGAAGGAATTATTTCTTTAAAGTATAACGGTTTACTGTCTTTGGGGATGGTTATTCTGTAATACTAAGTGGCACTCTGTGTCTTTCCTGCAACTTCAGTGAGGTCAGTTTGTGCATAGAATGTTTTCATTTAGATTTCAAAGTGGGAGAAGTGATTGTGGACATTGGAAAGTTCAGATGGAACTTGAGCAGGGCCAGTGTCTTATCTAGAGCTCTCCACTTGGTCAGGGTGAGTGAGGCAGCCTCATTTGTATGTGTGTACTCAGTGCTTGGCTTCAGACACAGTGAGAGCTGCTGTCTGTCAGGTGTCAGTCTCTCAGAACTTTAACCCAGAGTATCTTGAATACTTAAACTTAAAAATAAAATATTTTTTCCCACTGAGTTCTAGATGTCTGCTTGCTTGTCTCCCTCCCTTTCTATAAATAAGTCACTTTATTTTCTGTGCTAATGATACTTTTTGTGGTTGGCTTGAGAAAATTGGGATCTAAAATGACAAAAATGTGTGTTATTTAATCTTGCTGTTTCCCAATACACTTTAAAACTATTTTGCCAATCCTTTTACTATCTACCTACAAGCCGCCATCTGGAAATGAACCCAGTCAAGAGGAAGGAGATCATGCTGAGTGTTTCCTCTTGGGAGCTCTTGTGGTCCTCACTCTCCTCACTCCTTATTTCCGAATCTAAGTAAGCCTACCCTCTCTCTTCTTTCCTTACCTGGTTCTTATAAATAAGACTGGAGAGAAGAGTGTTAGTTCCTCCATAAAAAACCGACGAAGTCACAACTAAATGCAAGATTAGTCAGTTTTGTTGAGAGCTACCTCTGGGAAAAGAAAAAGGGCTTTTCTATGGTGAGTAACCGTGTTTCATTACATGGTCTCTTATATGTGGTACATGGGCAAAGCCATACAAATTTTATACAGGATCTTGAAATACAAATTTTTCAAAGTCTGAGAAATTACCAAAATAGAGAAATTGAAAAGCTGGCTGCTGTATAAGATGCAGTAAAGAGAAATAGCAGCCAGTGAGGAACTCTGAGGAAAATGATGGCCACACAAATGAACACACAGTGAAACATATCACTGCCACAGATAGCTCTCAGCAGTGGGTGACATTTGTCCAGTTCATCATTTCTTCACACATCCTTCTGTAAATGCATGTATGCTGCACTGTAGTGCTTTGGGTCTGTAGGGTTAGGCCTAGTTATCTTAATACAAGCTAGAGGGCGACATTTACAATGGAAAGGAGAACCATTCTACCAAAATAGTGTATTCCAAGGTGCAAATTAACCATTTCCTTTTCCCATCATCTGTTTCCTGTGATTTCCCATGGAACACTGATTTGGATACAGAAGGGCAGTAAAGCTGTTAGATGTTGTTTTTAAGCCAACTTTTAAAATTTTCCTATCAGAAAAGCACCTTTCATGCTCTTGCATTCTCTCCTCTTTGGGCTCCTTAGTTCATTGCCTAACTTAGAGGTCTCTTTCCCATGATAGGGATTGATTGGGTATTTTGGTAGGCCATAGAACAGTCAGGTTCGGTTGGCAAGAGCCTGATTTAGGGTGTGGCTATGCACTGTTTACTTGGCAGGAGATTGCCCTGCAGCTTCATGATTTCGGAGACAACTTGTTTTGTTCATTTGATTTTTTACCAGAAAGTGAAGGTGAGGAGTGCCGAGGACTGTGGTAATGTGCTCAGGGGTAGAGCACTTGCTTGCCATCCCCAGGGCTCTGGTTTCTGTTCCAGCACCACTAAAGGGGGGGGGGGAGGCTATGGCACTTTGCTGTAATCCCAGGATGTATGTGGGAAAACAGGATAAGTTCAAATCAGCCTACAAGCTACATAGACTGTTACAAATGAATAGAAATTAGCTCGGTGATGTTAAACTTTGAAGTTGATGTTAGAAGTTGAGCAGTATGATGTGTGTCAGCAGTACTGCAACAAGTTAGTGTAACAATCTTGGGAGGTTTGTACTGTCCTGAGGGAAAAATAAAGTATTTTAAACATACTTGGAGTTAGGTGAATTCAAAGAAGGTACAGGTAATAATGAAAGCTTAATCTGACCCTTAGAAAATATTTCCAGATTATTATTTATGGCAAAAAAATTTATTCCTCTCTGCCTATATATGAAGTTATGTTATGGGAAAATGAACCCATGAAGTGTAAAACCTCCGAATGAAGTCCTTTTTGCATGGGAAATAAAATGTATTTCTGATCCCTTTTACCCCTTGCTATTTTTTAGAGCAAGTAAACTCTTTCCTTGGTTTTGACTTCTTCAGCCATGAACCCTAGGCTTGCCAGGACATTGGTTTATCAGCCTCTGTTATAAACTCACAGGCCCAGGAACAGCAGAACTGTCACTGCTAGGAGCTCCATCGAATTGTGTAAACTCTAACTTTCCTCTCTTGGAATTACAGGCTGCCAGGATGTTGCAGATGAATTCCGAGCACAAGAGATTGATGGACAGGCCCTGCTCTTGCTAAAAGAAGACCATCTCATGAGTGCAATGAACATCAAGCTGGGCCCAGCCCTGAAGATTTGTGCACGCATTAACTCTCTGAAGGACTCGTAACAGGAGACCAAGGCTTTCATGTAATATCACTTTTATTGCTCTTAGTAGGTAAAGGTAAAGCCTCATTTGGCTGCGAATATTAGACTGGTGATGGAAGGCCAAGCACGCTGGGACCGCCACTTCCAGTGCTGACATTTCTCTTCAGAAACCCTAACTCATCATACATTTTCATAATAGCCAACATTGGTGAAGTTCATTTTACCAATTACATACCACACTGAAAGACTTGTTACAGAGGCTCTTATTTTTCAAAGAAACGTGTTATACTAGATAATTTTTAAAGGTAATATTTATCATTAATATAAAAGAATCCTTTTAAAATAATTATTGATTTACACTCCCCCTCCTTTGATTCTGTTTTCTTATATGTTTTTCTACCATGTTTGTTTTCCAAAGGTTATCATAGAGATATAGAGTAATTTAGGAGCCCATTGACAGAATTGGATGCAATGAAATATCATTATGTTTTAAAAACCATATCTTCCAGACAAATGCTTTGGCTGTGAAGAAAGAGTGTGTTCTTGCATAAGCAGTGTTTATGGAAGTCACAAGAGTTTATTCTAGACTTCCCTGTGATCGGCATGACTGATAGTGTTTCTCTTGGTTTTGTACATTAAGAGCAATAGTTCTTAGTGGAGGTCTCTTTTTGTCCTTCAGGGTGCTTTTGGCAATATCTGGACACATTCTGGTTGCCGCAGTTTGTGGTTGAGTTTGGGGAGGGTTGTTACGGGAATTGAGGTGGTAGTGGCAGCCAGAGATGTTGCTGAATATCCCTCAGTGCACAGCACTATTACCAAGAATGATACATTATAGATGCCAGTAGTGCCAAGGTTGAGAAGCCCCGGTGAACAAAGAGTGCTGCATGTTGCTCTTTCTCACCTTCAGGGACATACTTAAAGATAGGGTATGATAAGGAGTACATGCTTAGTGAAGTATTATTCAAATGGCAATGTTCTGAAGTTTTTTGTTTTGTTTTTCAGTTTTACTGTATACTAGAAAAGGGAAGAAAATCCATAAAATTGGTATGTAAGATTAGGCTAATTTACAGAACATGTGACTGATATGGCATTGGCCCATGTTCACCTTTTCCTGACTGTTGCTCTGCACTGATGGAGGTGTAAGATGCCATCATGCCTGGGAGAGTTGGTAGTGGAGGTGTGATCCCTTCCTCGTGGCTCTCTCAAATCGACCCTGCTGAATCTGTCTACAATGCACATTGCTTTCTCCCTTACTAAGTCCTTGGATTCTTCCCACAAACATTTAAAGTGATTTCTCTTAATCCAAAGTTTTCACTCAGCAGTTATTTTTCTGTAGAGTTAGGACATTAGGACAGGATTGTCTGTGGGTGCTCTGAGAGCCTTAAAGTGTTGGCATCGGAAGACTTGATGACACGCTTGTTTTCTCTATCTTTACTGCATCATTGAGAAATCTGAACATTAAAGGAGCAGATGGCAGATCCTTGGCCACAGATGTAAGAGACCTCAAGAGTCTGAGCTCACATTTTCATTGCTCTTTTCAGAAGAAGACTAAAAGACGTCACAAAGGTATCACAGATAAAATTTATCTTTTGGCTTTGTGTACATTAGAAAATGTCAGTTATTTTTATACAAAAATATAGTGGGTAATTTTTTTAATCTTTAGATGCTTCTTATTTGAATGTATGCATTGTGGACTTGTTAGTGTAGTAGTTTAAGAGGTGTTCACTGGTAGTCCTGTGTAGACTCAAAATGTTTAAGTAGCGTGAGGCTCATGTTTCAAACCTAAGGTAGTGTTAGTCTCTGTTACTTATTTCTTTGTATCACATTTTGTTATTAATGTTTCAAGGAAGGTAGGTACTTTATAGTCCATCTCATTTATTAGCAACAAGTCATCATGGCAGTGTTACATTTTCCTTTCATTCTCCTAAACATAGGCTAAGCAGCACTAAGAGATTGCCTACTACATGAAAGAGGCACAAAGGCAGATTTCCTCTGGAATTAAAACTGTATTGTAGTAATCCAGTTAATACAGACTTAATTGTCCTGTATAGACCTCCAGCAATAATGCTTCCCTCCTACAAATACTTACATATACCCTTTAAGGTATTAGCTCTACACTTCTACTAGAATCAGTCCATTGTGTGCTTATGAGAAACCCCTGGGCCTAGCACTGTCTTTAAGCATCCGTAAGCATCTTACAAGATAAGTTTCTATTGCAAAATGCCTTCTTATCCGGATCTTCTGTTGTCTGCACTTAAATTCAACTAGAAAATGCACTTTTTTCTACAGGTGGGTTGTTTCATGTAAAAGTGGCTCATTTGTTGTTATTTGGTAGTTCTCCCATTGCTGCAGGTATTTCTTTCTAGATAATTTAATCATCCTAACCTGAAAACTTCAATTACATGTGATGGGGACACACACCCTATGTCCACCTGTCTCCTGAGCATTAGACTGTTCAATATGACACAGATAGAAAGGATGCCATTTGCTTTTCCTTTGTATTACCAAGTGCTTTACAAACTTTCTTTGAGGAAAAAATGACAAGCAGAAAGGGAACATGGGTTCTTTCTATTTTTGCTACCTGAGTTTATATTTCCTTTAAACCCCTTTTGCACTAGAACATACTCTTCACATTTTAAGTTCTGTGTTCTTAGGAAAATGCAGTTGGCTTGTAAAAGTTACTTTATATGACAATACTTAGAAGCTTTGTGTAGACATGTGTAGAGCACAGCTACACAGCTCCATTATAAACTAACACAGCACAAGAATGCTGTCTCCATACTTGACAGCTTTGGTGACATGTAACTGTGATGGTTACATTCACTTCCATTTGCTGTGGAGTTTTTCTGAACAGAACGGTAGTCTGGGTTAAAGCTGTCACCTAGGAGGAGATGCTAGAAAAGAGGAAAGAGATAGTAGTGAATGAACTAGAGAGGGCTAACAGGCAAATGGAACCTCCCACTTGTTCATTCCATCTTTGCAACACTGAACAAATGCTGCACTTTTGACGTTAAAATTCATGTTTTCCTAAATAAATAGAAGTGGTTTCTTGTGTTTTGGGAATCCTGCTGCTTTCCTCTTTGTTTCTTTGTATTGGAAGACTAATGCATGAGACCATGCCTTTGAATAATTTGTTTTACATAGTCTTCATATATTAAGTGCAAAATTATAGTCACCTATCTGTTTACAAATACAAATCTTGGATTGAAGTCTTTCAGAGGACACAGTTTTTCAAGTTTGTTTAGTTGTGTGCCTCGGAACTCAGAGCCCTTAAGAGTGTTATTCTGGACCAGAGTGGTAGGAAGGAAATATAGTCAAGTAATTTTAGGCTTTGATTTCATGTGTGCAGGTGATTTTAGAAAGAAGAAACTCTTACTGATGCATGTGAATGAAGCTGGTCTTGCAGCTATGGCCAGTGTATGCAACCTCTGACTGGTCACACGGTTAAATCATTTCAGACATGTTTTCAACCCAAGAGGCTGGCTGTATGTGACTTCATCCTTTGTGAATACCCACAACACCTGCTTCCAACTGGTATTGTTAGTGGCATGGAATGGCCTTGTCTTATTTCCTTCATTAAGCCCCTTTTATCCCCAGCCCTACCCCAAATAAACCACACAGGGCTTTCTTCTTAGTTCTTGGCTTGGAGTTGGGTAGCATCCTGGCCTGGAAATCTTCATGATTTTGTAACAGGGATAGACCTTTATAATTTTACCAGTTGCATTTCAATGAAAGCCTTCTCCCTCTATGCAAATCATTTCCTAGTTATGTTTCTTGTGCACCATAGGTCTGTGTGACTAGTTGTACCCTAAAGCGTGTTTTTTTCTTGTGTGTGTGTGTGTGTGTGTGTGTGTGTGTGTGTGTGATTTGGTTTTTTTTTTTTTTGGTGGTGGTGGTGGGCAGATAGGAGGGCGACACTGCCGGCTAAATGAAGACATTTAGCATGATCCATGGTAATGGGTGGCTCAACTGCCATTATAGCAATGCAAAGGTCTTAGGGTATGTTAGTTGGTTTGTTTGCTGGTACCAGGGACTGAAGTCAGTGTTTCACACTCCACCCCTGAGCTTGCATACTATGTTTTTGCTTGTTTGCCTAGACTAACCTGGAAATGTTATCCTCTGACCTTTTCTCAAGTGCAAAGGTCTGTGCCACCATGCCAAATCTAGCCCTGGTAGCTTTAAATGTCAAGATTCTCCTGTAATCAAATGAGTTCTCTTCTTATCACCTGACCCTGCTGTGAGGCGCTTTGATGTTATTAGTACCACTGGTCCCCAAGTGAGTGATCCTGAATTTCTGAAGATAACTAGTAAGAGGAAGAGAGAGTACTGTCAAAATTTAGAAGTCTGTTGTGTGTAGCCAGATTAGAGAGGATTTCCACATCAGATAGCACAACTGATGCATGCAGTCTTGCAGCTGGTCGTGAGGGGAAAGGCACTGTAAGGTAGTTTGTTGTGTCTCAGTCTGAAACCAGCTGTTCCTCCTGACTGGGTCCCAGGAAGCACAGGCCTGCCTGTGTTCTTGGTGTAAAGCAGAATGACTCATGACATGAACTATTTAACTCACAATCTTCAATGCTGATACTTTATCAGTCCATTTGGAATATTTTACTTCATCTCAAAGATTGGTTTTCAGTTTATATGAATATAAATATTAGAAATGGTAAATAAATTTTCTTATTAATTAACTTTAAGCCATTGAACCATACTTCTTAAGAAATTCTCTGGGAAGATATTTCTCTTGTGTTAGAAGATTATAAAATGCATTATCCTATAGTTTATAGTTGAAATAAAAGCGGTTTCTTTAATTTAAAAAGTTGGAAATGACATTAACTTTAAAAAAGTTACCTAAAACGTTAAAATCTTACAAGTGTGCATATTAGTTCTAGAGTTCAATCTACTTTAAAAGTATACTAAGAGAAAATTTTCTTTCTTTTTGAAAGTCACGAGGTACCAAGTGAAGTACAAGTAGTGCCATCATGTTCCAGAAAAGAACGTCAGGAGGCCCTGCCCTCTGTAGTGATGTGCTCCTAGCCTCCCTAAGACAGAGTCCCAAAATGCACATACACACTTTCTGGCAAGTGCCATAGTGATGGGAAATTATTTCCACAGGGGTTTTATTTTTTCCCTTTTGATAGCTTGTGGACATTTTGTTTTATTTTAAAATACAATTTTAATAAAATGTGAGGTCCACAATGAGCTTCTACCACCTTATATTTTAGGCTGAGGTCTTTCTATTGCTTTTCAAATGCTGCCCATGATATTGCTGGCATTGGGTATGAATCTATAGAAAGATAAAACTTTAAATAAGTATGTACTAAATTAATTTTAATTTTGAAAAAACCAGTATGAATTTAAAACATTATGCTAGCATGGCATAATTTTAATGAAATGTAAGAGGGATATAGTTAAGTCCTTTTATACTGTCTGAATTAATGCCAGTCATCATCTTAGATACAGTACCTATTGCTTATTAGCTTAATGGAATACGTCAGTGTTAACCTGTGCTTTGTAGACCTTTCTCTGACAGTGGTGAAGAGGGATGGAGATTATAACATCATTGACACAAACATGAACCCACTGTAGCAGGAAGGGACTTTTTTAGTCTTGCCTCAAGTAACCTAAATATGTACGGTGTTTAAAGTCCTTGTACATAGTGCCTGTGTTAAATGTTTTGGTAGTACTAAAGAGTGAGCAAAATTACTATTTTTATTCAGTAGTGAGTGACATAAATACACTTGCTGCATTATCTTGTTGAGTGGCAATGAAACACTGTGGCTTTGAGACTTGGTATTACTCCAGATAGCAAATTAGCTGTGTGACACCTTGGGCAATTATTTGGCTTTTAATCTCATCTGAATGAATACCTGCACTGGCAAATATGTTGACTTTTGGCTTTAGTCATCATTGAAGAAACCTTCCTCCAGCTCTAAAATTACATTCCTGAGCTACATAATTGGTATTACCACTAGCCTGACCGAATGACACTCATGCACTTATTCATCCATTTGTAAACTATTTGAAAACTTGGGTTGTGTGTAGCATATACAACTAAAAAAAAAAAAAAAATCAAGTCTTCCCAAACAGCCTCACTGCTGCTTAAGCATATATGTACTAACTCCCAGTCAATGCCCTGTTGCCTGGGAACTGGGATTTAATAACACCCAAGGGGTCCAAATCCCATCACCACTCTCAGACCACCTTTCACATACTGCATGTCTGCTGACCATCTACTTACTGTCGACAGACAACAGTAAGAACACCTACCATAACCAACTCTGAGTGTTGCGACAGGCGGTGTCAGGACTAGTCCTGTGCATGGTATGTGGCAGGATGACAGAAGCTGATGTGGAATCAGTATGCATCTTTAATTGCAAAGATTTATATCCAGTATTGATTGATGGATAGTGGGGCAGTTTTCCAAAACGGACATCTGACAGGAGGCCAGGAGAACAGGCTGCTGCCACCGCTTCCTACAGTCGATTGCATTGTGTGCTATAGCCAGTCAGAGGGGGGTATGCACTGCATCATGAAATAAGGCAGAGCTGGTAACAAGGCAGATCCTGCTGCGCTGGCCAGCATTTGAGGAGTAAAGATGGAATCAGATTTAATTGGGTAAATTCCCTTGTCACTCTGGGATTCTGTGAATCAGGTTGTAACTTTTGCTTTAAATACTAACATCAGTTGTTACTAACATTCTTTATAAAGATATAAAAATATATTTTAAAAACTTTTATGTATCATAGCTGTAGCTTTTTAAGGTGGGAAAATGTCCAAATAAAGTGTTTGATTACTATATATAACAGATGCTTTCAAACAGGTTTTTTTTTTAAAGGTATACTAATCTAAATAGCCCAAATAATCTAGCCTTTGCAAATTGCTCTTTGATGATGGTTACTTTCAAAGTGTTTTAAGTTCTTTAAAGTATACCTAAGTTGTGAAGTGTCCCATGCTGTTTAGATCTCTGTTGCATTGATGCTGTTTTTAAACATGTATTCTTGGAACTTCAGAGTTCAGTCAAAAATACAGAGATTGAAATTTTGTGTGTGATTTCTCACAATGATCACCTCTGTCAAAAGATGACTCTCCTTTTTCTTTTTCAAAAGATGGGCTTTTTCCAAAATTCTGAAATTCTTGGAAAGTGCAGGATTGTACTACAAATGAAGGTTGCATGTTGCAGACAGCTGTGCACAGGGGTAGATGCTGACAGGAGGAAAAGGTACTTGAAAGCCTCTTGATTCAGTTAGAATGTTTTGTCTTTTTACTGCTTAAAATTTGTTTCACAGGGGCAAGCTGCTGTGACTACTTTTTTTTTAATGTTTTAAGCACATTAAAAAAATCTTCCTTTTGGTTCTTCCCATTGTTCTAAAATCAAAGTTTTATAATAAAAAAAATCTCAGAAGATGATTCATAAAGGAAAAAAGCACCACCAAGGGGGAAGGAAAATGTGTTTTAATCTTACAGAAAGCAAATATTAAGGTTCTATGAATGCGTCTTACATGAGTGTTGTATAGTCCTCACAGGAAATGACATAGTTGTAGCACCTTAGCATAGACTTCCTAGACTGGTGTTCATAGCTACAGTTTTGCAATGTAGAACCTGAAGATGAAGTTAATTTTGCATTATAAGAGCACACCATTATCTATGTAAAAAGTGTTCATTTGATGTATTTTTTTAAGAAAAGAGAAAGCACTTTCATATTAAGTCGCATGTGTATGAATTTTAGACTTCCTGTTTGTGTGTCTATTCAGTGACTAAAATAGAGCATCAGATGTTTGCTGGCAGCGTAAACTGCTAATGGAAGCACCTTATACTCTGCTGCTTAAACTTGCTTGGATTGCACCTTGTCACCTGCACACTTTCACAAAGAGTATTGTAACATGGCTTCGAGTGGCTCTGGGTGGAAGATCAGTGGTGGGCCTACAGGATCTTTTATTTATGTTGTTTATATTACAATAATATATTGTAGACCAGTTGTAACTTCAGTTCTTTGCAAATAAAAATCTGACTGGTTATTGAATTTTTACTTCTTTAAGCTTTTGAGAGATTGTGGGAAAATCTAAGCAAAGACATTGACGGCTGAACTGGTTATAAATTTGCTGGCATATAATATCCAGAAAGAGTATACACTAAATTCAGTATAGCTAAGTATATTTTATTCTCATGTTATGGCTAATTGGAAGGAAAAAAAAATGCCGGGCGTTGGTGGCTTGGCGCCTTTAATCCCAGCACTCGGGGAGGCAGAAGCAGGTGGATCTCTGTGAGTTCGAGACCAGCCTGGTCTACAGAGCAAATTTCAGGACAGCTTCCAAAACAATAGAAAGAAACCCTATCTTGAAAAAACAAAAAACAAAACAAAAAACCCAAAAGCAAACAAACATGGAGAGGAAAGCATAGATCAATTAAAAAGGCTGTCTTCTGCCTTCTGAACTCAAGCACACAGGGATCACAGGGTTAGGTGTGCTGAGCTTTGCTGTGGGTAGAGTGCTTGCCTAGCACATATGAAACCTGGGTTTAATCCCCAGCACCACACAAATCAGGCTTTAGATGTAATTATGTCTATTTGCATTTTAAAATATAACAATGTAATTTTTTATTCCTACTTTCTCTTATGTGTTAATGCCCAATTTTTAAACATGTAAATACTGTAGTATCCTTGCAGCAACACACAGATGAGTGAATGACTTAAATCTGGCTAGTCATTCACTGAGGCTTTACCTGAAAGTAGGTGCTCTAAATTGGACTGATAAAAGCCCAGGTTATTGGCAGCCAGAACTGCCCTCAGCATTAGCAAATTAAACTTGACATCCCAGAAATGGTCTCTTGGTTTATTTTACTACTTCATTGTTTCAGTGCCCCTTTTCTTAGAATGGCTTAGGCTAGTAAGGAATGTATCATAAAGTGTCATCTGGAATGTTCGATACCTTAAATTTTTCAGACATTATTGAATAACCCTTATCCAAAACCATTTTAGACGTCATAGATACTGTATGTTTTATGTAAAAAAAAATCATAAAAAGCCATTGTTTGAGAAGCCATGAGTGGAACCAATGAATGTTGTAACAGTGGGAAAGAGCATGAGGGAAGGAAGCCAGGGTTTGAGTCTCACCTCCCCCATGGCTGAGTGAGCTTGGGTATGCTTCTTAATGTTGATGCTTTAGTTTCCTTCCCTGTAAGAAGAGGATGTCAACAGTGTTGTCAGAGGGATTAGATCAGTGGCTCCCTACAAGTAAGTGCTTGCCCAGCACCAACACACACAAGCCTGGCGGGTTAGAGCTACTGTACAGCACTGTTTTAGGACAGAATCCATTTGTGGATCATGAACTTAACTCCATAGGTCACTACTACTTTTTAAAACATCTTGGGGAGAGGGAGACTGGATGATCTTATGTAGACCAGGCTGACCTTAAGGTAATCAAGGATGACCTTGAATTTCTCGTCTTCCTGCTTACACCTCCCCAGGTGCAGGATTGCAGGTACACACTACTACACTGCTTTGTGCTGCTAGGACTCTTGGCACTGATAAGCAGTCTACTAAGTGAGCCTTGCCTCAACCTAAAAGCCACTCAACTTTAGAAATGCTAGGAGTGGTTCTTGGAACATATATTAGTATTTGTAAACAGCAGCCAAACATCTATGTAACTTAATTCTTTTATTGGTTTTACGAGACAGGGTTTCTCTGTATTGTTTTGGAGGCTATCGGTCCAGCCTGGCCTCGAACTCACAGAGATCCGCCTGCCTCTGCCTCCCGAGTGCTGGGATTAAAGGCGTGCGCCACCACCGCCCGGCGTAACTTAATTTTTAAAGTGATTTCAGCTTATTCTGATTCACGTTGCTTCCCTCCAAGGGTGGTTTCCATAGGGGAGTGGGGGCGGGGAGTTGTGTCCAGGGGGTTTGGGACTATGTGGAGACATTTTTGATTGCTGCTTCTGGGGAAGTTGTCACTGGCATTTATACAATGTGTGGGGTTACCCCTACAAGACAGATCAAGCCCTAAATGTCAAGAGCCCAAGGCTTTTTGTAGCATATGTTGCTAAATGATTATGATCTGATGTGCACATGTTATAAATGAATACATTTTGCATGTCATGGTAAGAGTGCCCATGGTTCCCAGCTTCATAGGCTAAACAGCTGAAACTTTCCAGGAATATTTGTAATAAAATATTTTAGCTATATTTAAAATGAGCTAATCTTCCCCTTAAAGTTTATTTATACCAAATTACTTTAAGTTTTTTTCTCTAAAGCTGATAAAATATTTAAGTTCAGATCTTAAAGTTAGCAGTACAATCTCAAATTTATTTAACATTTTGCATCCAGTAGTTTTTTGAAGTAAAACAGCAAGCTGGACACACATTAATGTGTTTTTTTACTTTTGGATTAGTACCAAATACTTACACAATGTCTAAATACACAGTGTTGCTGAACGGGAATAAAAGCTTGGTTGTGTTACTGTGTCCTTAGCACTATTTAATATCCACCACACCTTAGAGGCTGTGCTGCAAAAAGAAAAGTTAGGGGGCCAAGAGCTTCAGGTACGTGTCCTGAGTCCCCTCTGTCACGCTTGTAAGACTGATCCTTGGTGCTTCTGGAGTTCTCCAAACACAGCAGCATATCAACAGATGATTATGGATACGGGCCTCTCCACTTGCTTAAGTCTATGGATTGGAACAAAACAGCATTTCCAGTTGACAAAAGGATCCACAGGTAATGTGCTGCCTCTTACATAAAGCTTCTGGGAGTTAAACCAATAAACTGCAGCAAGGAGAAAACTGTTGACAAAGTAGAGCCAGGGGACATTCATTTCTACATATGCTGGGATCTCAACTCCGAGCGACAGGGTGAGTACCTGAAGTGCTACAAAGGGAAACCAGGTCCCAAAAAAGCACACGATGAGCCTGGGTAAGAGTGCTTCTCTAGACCTCACAGGGTAACCCAAGTGGGATGGGAAAGGAAAGTAGAGGATGGTCTTGTTCATATACGATGTTATCCTAATTGCCTGCACCAAGGCAACAACTTCTGGCCATGAAATCAGAAAAGCCACCAGTAAAACCATTAGCATAAACAATGATAGCCAGTAACTCTGAGTGCTGACATAGGAAGGGCATTGGTACATAGAAGCCCTGTGTGTCTTCAGGCTTTGTGAGATAGCTGGCTCTACCAAAACGTAAGCAAAGACTGAAGTCCAAATTAAAATGACTGTCAAGAAATAAAATAACTTTTGCCACTTAGATGAATGCTTGGTAGCTCTACATAGATTTAAACAGTGATCTATACAAGCTAGTAAGCAAACTGGATAATGCAAAAAGCCATAAGTGAAGGAAATGATTTGTGTCAGCAGACAGATGTGGTATTTTGTAAACCTAATACCTAGAACCACAAAGTCCCTAAAGTAGGACAGAATGGAAATGTTTACCAACAGCAGAAGGTCAACAAATGCTAGTGAAAAGCAGAAATACTCCATGAAACTCCAAAAGGTGGCTTTCCTTTTCATTCCTAGGATGAGGATATTTAATAGTATTTTCCCAAGTATGATCAAGAACAACAGACAGTTAGCATCTAGGGGCTGCTTTGACTGGTGTAGCAGGTGCTGAAAAGAGCAGTTCTCTGAAGAAAGAGCTGTCATTTTCAGTTAGATTTCAAGACTTTGATCTGGTGAATACACAGGACAAGAAACAGCTCCACTTTATTTTCTTTCCCTGCAAAAAGAAGAAAAACCTTCTTATCATGGTGCTGTCTCTACTATAAGACTTTACATGCGTCTCCATTTGCACAAATTCATGACTTGTGAGTGGAGTGAAGCAGCATTACTAAATGGATGCACAGACGATGATCTCTCCTAACACTATGAATAGAGACCAGGATCAAACATTTTGAACTGTCTTTAAATTTACATAAAAATGTGATTTCTCTATTACGTGTGGTCTTTATCGACTTGTAAAAGAGATACTTGTATTTACCTCAGCCAAAACATTAGAAGAAACACAGGTTCAGGGAATTATCAATTGCTTGAGACAACCTCCCTTTTTGTGCTTTTGACAATGAAATTTAGAGGTTATGTTTAGGCATTATTCTGAATAGCTATTTTCACATTTTTCTATCAAGCTTTTTCTGAAGCTCAAAAATAGCTGGGTTGAGGCCGGGCGGTGGTGGCGCACACCTTTAATCCCAGCACTCGGGAGGCAGAGGCAGGCGGATCTCTGTGAGTTCGAGGCTGGGCTGGACCGATAGCCTCCAAAACAATACAGAGAAACCCTGTCTCGAAAAACCAAAAAAAAAAAAAAAAAATAGCTGGGTTGAGAATAATAGGAACCCACAACATAGCAGGCTTCCTCTTCGGGACATGCTTGTTTAGATATGGCAACTGGATAGAGAACACAGAAAAGAACAGGATGGAGCATGGGCACCTGAGAACATAAATACAAGAGCAAAGGGCAAGAGCTGAAGCTTGAGTGTCAAATGCATGGGCAAGTGGCAAAGAGGCCAGAGAGGAAGAAGTTGAGAAAGGAAGATTCCAGAAACAGCCTTTGAAGAAAAACACATTGGGGGATAAAGTTCATTGCCTAGAATATGCAAAATCCCTCCTGGGTTTGATCCCTGGCACCCCATCCCCCCTATAAAAACCCTGAACAACAACATATATATCAAATACACACAACAACAACAAGAATAATTAAGTCCTAACAACAATCTGAGGAATGGGTCAAACTAACACACAGTAGGCAAATCATTAAGATGTACTGCATGCAGCCATTAAAAATATCAAGTGGGGTGGGACGTAGCACAGTGGCAGTACATCTGCATTGTGTGCTCAGCCCTAGGGTTGATCCCTTATACAAAGCAACACTTTTGGCTTATTCAACTAGGAAGATTTAGTTTTCTAGTGAAAAGCACTTTTTCTACTTGCTGAAAATTCTCACACACTAAAACAATGATAAATTTCTACAATATTTTAGGTGAAATTCGAGGTATAATATTAAGCAATATATAGGCATAGTGGCATGTATGTTGAGTCCCAGCTCCCAGGAGGCACAGACAAATGGACCTCTTGAGTTCAAGACGATCCAGACCAGCTAGGGCTGCAGATATCTCATATTAATAACAACGATACACTTGAAAGCTTTAGAAAAATAAGAACAAACACCCAAAAAGGGTAGAGAGGAAGAATTAAACTCAGAGGTGAAATTAATGAAATAGAAATAACAAAAATACAAAGAATCAATGAAAAAATGAGTTAGTTCTTTCAAAAAATCAAGTTAGCTAAATTAGCCAAACCTTTAGCCAAATTAACCCAAAGAGAAGGATCCAAATTAATATTAGAGACAAGAGTGACATTACAGCAGACACTGAGGAAATTCACAGAATCATAAGGACATGCTTTCAAAATCTATATTCTACCAAGTTGAAAACAAATGAATTTCTGTATGTGTACAACTTATCAAAGTTAAAAATTGAAATAGTCCCATAATATTTAAAGAGATAAGAGCAGTAATTAAAAAATCTCTCAACTACAAAAAGCCTGGGCCAGATAGAGTTAGTTTTGGAATTTTACCAAACCCTCAAAGAAAAACCTAATATTCCTTAGGTTATTCCATAAAACAGAAACTGAATGGATATATCTGAGCACTTTTTTTTTCATGGAGGTAGAGGAGCTGTAATGTTTCCAATTTGTGTAGCTTCTTTTTTTTTTATTTTCCAGTTTAAATTTAGATAAGAAACAAGGTTGCTTCACAAGTCAGTTCCAGGTCCCTCTCCCTTTCCCTCCCCTCCTCCCGTGCCCTCCCCCCAACCCCCCCCCCATTATCTGCTCATTCCCCCAGGGAGGGTGAGGCCCTCCATGGGGGTGTCCATAGTCTGTCATTTCATATAGGGCAGGGCCTAGACCCTTCCCCAAGAGTTCAGGGTGAGAGTGCACCTCACACTGTTCGATGGGAGTCCAAAGTCCGTGTGTATACTTGGGATGGGTACTGATCTGCTGCCCAAGGCTCAATAGATTACCTAGGCCTCCTCACTGACACTCACATTCAGGGGGTCTTGATCAGTCACATGCTGGATTCCCAGGCTGATGCCTGGGATTCAAGAGTTAACCTTTGTCTGGTCAGCTGTTTCTGGGGGTTAAACTAGCCCAGTCTTAATCCCTTTGATCATCAGTCCTCCCTCTCTGTTACTGGCTTTCTTGAGTTCAGCTCTATCTGAGCACTTTTTATGAAGCCAGGATTTATACCCAAACCAGACAAAGACCAACTAAAGAAAATTAAAGACCACTATTTTCTTAGAAATGTAAAGATTCTCAACAAAATACATGCAAACAGAATCCTAGAACACATCAAAAATATTCACTATAATAAGGTTGGCTTCCTCCCAGCGATGCAAAGGTGGTTCAAAATAGAAGTTAATCAATAAATGTAATCCACCACACAAACAGAATAAAGGACAAAACCACATGGTCATCTTATCAGATGTAGAAAAGGCCTGTGACAAAAACCAACATCCCTTCATGATACATTTTGGAGATGGGAAAAATAGAACAGGAATGATTAAGTGGGGAGGGATTAGGAGGGCATGATAGAGAACAGAATATGGTGAGGGGCAGCTAATACTAAAGGTCTTTTGAGCTAGGCAGTGGTGGTATAGGCCTTTAATTGTGGCATTCAGGAGTCAAGCCAGGAGATTCTGAGTGAGACTAGCCTAGTCTACAAAGTGAGTTTCAGGACATTCAAGGGTTACATAGAGAAACTGTCTTGAAAATCAAAAGCCCCTTTGAAATCACAAGTTTAAATGGAGTTATTCTGGGAATGACAGGCAAAACCCCAACTAGACACCACATACTTCCAAATAAAACCACTATTACCAGGAAGGGTCACCTATTTTTTGAGTTGTTGGTCTATGTATCCATAGATTTGCACTGAAACATTACAGCATATTGGTTGCCCTCTAGAAATTCATGCTAAAAACCCTATTGCTGAAGATACTACATGCTTGAGTCATAGAACATGAAGAAATATATCTGGTATTGGAAGCTTCACCCCTACTGGCTAGCTTTCATACTGTTGGAAGGCACTATGTATATTACCAGAGGAGAAAAAGTAATTGTCTCATCTAGCTATGACCTCTGTGAGCTACAATAACGACCTGCCTGGTAATAGTAGCGCAAATGTTATAGAAGTAACCAATCACATTTTTGTTTGTTTGTTTGTTTTTTGAGACAGGGTTTCTCTGTATTGCTTTGGAGGTTGTCCTGGAACTCCTCTGTAGACCAGGCTGGGCTTGAACTCACAGAGATCTGCCTGCCTCTGCCTCTGCCTCCTGAGTGCTGGCTTAAAGGCGTGCCCCACCAATGCCCAGCCCAATCACTTTTGATTGAAGTTAAATCCTGATCTTCAAGATGGAACCCATATCTCACATCATCAATGAGGTCCAGAACCTGTGGCTAGATGGTCAAGGGCCCTAGTAGGAAACCTACTTAGGGGGAGATCTTACATACCTGTAGTGCTGACCATGCCCGTTTGGGCATGGTCACAGGTACATAGAATGTATGGGAAATAAAAGAGCTGAGGGGAAAGAGACGTGCTCTCTTTGAGTTCTGGTCAAGTCTCGGAGAACAGCAAGTAGACCTTTGATTCTCAGCTTTCTTGGCTTCTCATGTAAGTGACTTCTCCCTCAATAAAGTATCATATGGCATCCAAATCTTGGGTAGCTTAATATTTCCACAATATCTGGTGTCAGGAGTCAGGAAGCAAGTTTACCCAGCCTACATGCGTGGCCTACAGCCCCATGCATCTTGGCAGCCCCGAAGTCCCTCCTAAGTCACCAGGGTTTCCCAACTCAACCCTATTCTCCCACTTGATGCAGTTCTCTTCTGACCCAATGGGGTGCCAGCTCCTTTGTTCTCCAGCTGTGGGATATTCAAGGGATTTGGGGAGGTACACCCAAGCCCCCACACTTGAGCCAAGATAAGACTATTGGTGAGGGTGCTTATGCTGACCCACAAGTTCAGACTGAATATGACAAACACATCTTGTCTTTGTGCCATACAGCAGCTCTGAATGCTTTGGATAAGGTTCATAAACCAGGAGAGAAAATAGAACCCTATTCCAAAGTGGTACAGGGACCGAGAGAAAGGTTCACTGAATTCTTACAAAGATTGTCCAGAGAAGTAGAATTACAGGTAACTGATTCAGAGTCTAGGTGAATACTTACAGAATATCTAGCTCATGAGAATGCAAATCCAGGTACTTTGGCCATTAAAAATCAGATCAGCCCCATTGAAGGAATGGGTCCTCTATACAGCTAACCTTGAATATGAAGATCAAGATACAGGAACTTGGGTAGGAGAGGCACCAAGATGCCAAATGCCTTAACTTGGGTAGGAGAGGCAATCTCCAGAGGTTTAAAAAGACATCAAAATACCAGATGTTTTAACTGTGTTGGAATAGGACATATAAGAAGAAACTGTAGGCAAAGCATTCCTAGAAATAATGCTCCTCCTAGGAATGACTCAAACAGATGGCCTCAACCTTCTGGATTATGGATGAGATGTGGCAAAGGCCGACACTGGACCAATGAATGTAGGTAGACCACAGACAGACAAGGTAACCCTGTAAATCGGGAAACTTATCGGGGGGCCTCTCGAAGGTCCCCATGTCAAAAGTGGTCCAGTCATTCCAGACCACTATGGAGGACAATCTCTCCCAGGATA